GCCCGAGGCCACGTGAGAGCTTGGGTTTGGAGAAGGGGTCTGCCGGTCTCATAGGGCCGTGTGTGCCAGCCTTCGGCTCACAGCCACCTGCAGTGAGAAGCTGCTGACGGGCACGACACAGCAGGGATGTGACTGACTTTGTGCTTTCTTTATAAATGTTTTTCTTGATCAGGCATCAACATTTTTTAAAACTTTGCTTTCAATCTCACCAGAATAGCTGGTTGATGTCAGCGGAAGCACGCACCTTAGGCTGCTGTGTGCAGTACAGCTCCCTTGATCTGACTGCTCTTTCTGAAGATCACTCTGGCTGCTGGGACTGATGCACTGCCCAGGGAAGGGTCTGAAGCAGAGGCCATGTGCAGGTGAGTGACTTGGTGCAGGTGGTGGCCGAGAAGAGAGGGAGCCATGGATGGCAGGAATATGTGGCAGGATGAGCCTTCTGTGGGTGGATTTGGATGTCGAAGGTGCAGGGAGCACAGATGGAGTCAGGGGCAGGCTGGGCAGGGGTGCTGTCATTGATGGGACTGGGGAGGTTGAGAGCCCTGTGCTCAGGCTGCTGCAGGTGGCTGCAGAAATCCTCCCTGACCCCTTGGTGCTCTGTATGCTATGTGTCTGCAGTTGCTCGGGCACAAACCCACACGCAGCTCCGAGCCTCCAGCAGAAAGGAAAGGGCCGAGCTTTGTCCCACCGTGGGGACACAGCATCACTGAACCATCTCCAGAAGCAGGCTCTGTAGCCAGGGAATGAGCAGAGAGCAAATGTGTCACTCTGACTTCCAAGTCTGTTAGATGAGGGGAGTTGAAAAGCTCGTGGAAAGTGGGAGTGAAAGAGAATGCCCTTTCCCATGAACTTTTCAAAGAGCCTTCATTTTGCTACTGATGAGTGGACAGCTGTGCGATTGCACAGGATTTCCTTAAGAGAGGCCAGACAAATCACCCAGCAAATGACTCAAATGCGAACATCTTCTGAGTGGGCACCTGCTTCCAGGGCCCTAAGCCTCTTGGTCGATGTCTTCTCACCTGCTCTCTGGTTAATTTTTTTTAAAGATCTGTTTATTTTAATGGAAAGTCAGAGAGATCTTCCATCCTGTAGTTTACTCCCCAAATGGCTCCAATGACCAGAGCTAGGAGCCAGTAGCTTCTTGCGAGTCTCCCACATGGATGCAGGGGTCCAGGGACTTGGGCCTTCTATAGCTGCCTTCCCAGGCTATTAGCAGGCAGCTGGATTTTAAGTGGAGCATCTGGGACTCATGCTGGCACCCATATAGGATGGTGGTACTACAAGCAGAGGATTAACCCTTCAGGTTGAATCCTAGCAGCTATGGTCCATGTGGGGCCTCCACCACCTGCCAGCAGCTGCTGTGTGGGTGACCAAGCTCTGACCCCAGCACCAGCTGCCCCCTGCCACACTCGCTGCCTCTCTGCTCTCCTCTTAGGGCTCCATGCTCTCTTGTTTACTTCTCCCCTCATTCACACCAGTCTTCTCCATCATGCCTGTCAAATGTCAACCCAGATAAGGAACTTTGAATAAAAGCTAGCAGTCTGGACAACAGCAAGCACAGCTAAAAAGATGAATACCCATCTCTGCCTGACTTTACTATGTTTTTTTAAAAAAACTTTTTATTGGAAAGACATATTTACAGAGAGAAGGCAATATAGAGAGAAGGATCTTCTCTCTGCTGGTTCACTCCTCACATTGGCCACAATGGCCAGAGCTGAGCTAATTTAAAGCTAGGAGCCATGAGCCTTTTCCTGGTCTCCCATGCAGGCGCAGAGTCCCAAGGCTTTGGGTCATTCTTCACTGCTTTCCCAGGCCGTTAGCAGGGAACTAGATGGGAAGTGGAGCAGCTGGGACTCAAACCAGTGACCATATGAGATACCGTGCTTAGTAGTAGAGGATTAGTCAATAAAGACAGTGAGCCTACCCTCAACTTTGTGGTCTTGAGAGAGTCTAGTCCCTGGTAAAGTGAGGGCAGGTGTGGTCTTCCTGGTAGTCATTCTGGACATGTTCATGGAGCATCAGGTGGGTGGGGGCCAGGCTGTCGTGAGGAGGGAGGTCTGAGCCTTGCCCCATTGGAGCCTCCAGCCCAGCGAGGCAGCAGGAGTCGGTGGGAAGTCAGCATGTAGCCCCCTATGGAAGTTTCCAGAGAAGGCGTCCTAGGGAGGCTTGCCCAAGTTCCACAGGAAGCAGAGTAGCTGATCTGCCCAAGATCAAGGGGAATAAGAGAAAAAGCTGTGTGCGTGCATTGAGACCTGTTCACTCCCCACAGGGTGCAGCCATGAGACCTGGGCAGGGGGTGCACGGAGCAAGGCAGCACGCCACACATGGAGTGTGGAAACTCACGTGACTCCCAAGAACCCTACCCCAGTCAGCGGAAGGGCCTGGGTGGGCTGGCTTCTCCCAGCTCCTCCAACGTGGGGACTGACCCAGCCAGTGGCGGCGTGAAACTTCTACTGGTGGGTTGGGGGATACATTTAAAATCTAGATGTGTGTCAGATAGGTTTTGTTTATTTTCACACAGAGCCATAACCAAGGCCTCTAGCTCTGCTTCCATGCCATTGGTTTCCGCACCATACTCCCTTATCAGTAACGCCAGCAGGTCTCCGAGTATGTTCTGTTACATCGCACCTTAAACTTTGTCTTGGCCAAAATCTTAAACCCCCAAGATGAATTACACGCTGAAGTAAAAGCGGTTATGTACTCAACAGCACAATTTTCCATTACAAATATTGTTTTTATTCTTCCTCAATTAAAAGAAAAAAAATTAGTGCCTTGAGGGGTTCTTTGAATTTCCAAGCCTTCTAGATCAAAGATTTTTTCCGCTGTCTGAATTATAAGAATGTTGAAAAACAAAAGCAAATCTTTTTCCTGCTATAAAATCCTTGCCATGTTTTTGTCTTTATGTAACTCAAAACGGCTGAGCTGAGACGTGAGCTCGGTGAGCTGTGTGCAAAATTTAAAACTTCATAGGGCATGGAGTCATTGATAATTTCCAGTGTCATTCTCACTAGTCTGACCCGAGAATAAATTTTACTGAGTTCTTAACTTGATGATGCGGACAATGGCTCAATAGCACTCCTTGGAGAGCAGAATAAATGACGGTGAGGTGTACCCATATGTTTAAAGTTGCTGATTTTTTGGGGGTGGGAGGTGTTTGTGGCACCAAAGGTTAAACCACTGCTTGGGACATCTGTAGCCCACTCAGAGTGCTGGTTCAAGTCCCAGCTCCTCTCCTCATGATGCAGCTTCCTGCTCCTGCATCCTGGGAGGCAGTAGATGATGGCTCAAGTGTGTGGGCCCCTGCCACCCATGTCAGAGTCGTGCGTGGAGTTCTGGGCTCTTGGCTTTGGCTTGGCAGGTGGGCTTGTGCCTTAGTGTATGCCTGTAGGCTCACAGCTTCAGCACTTTGAGATCCCTAGGGAGATGTCCTTATGTTCTCTTTAATACAGAGTTAGATAGCAAGTCTGGTGTAGTGTGCACATCCTTGTGTCTCTGTGGGTGGGAAGGAATCATGGCAGCTTGCGTGTGCTCTGACACTCCAGACCGAAGCCTAATTTATTTTCCATTTCCTCCCATGCTGCGTTTATTTTAAACATTTGTAAAATGCTGTAACTTTTCTAAGAAATGCACACTGAAATGCAGCTGGAAGATGGAGGAAAGCAAAAGGTGCGACGCCCATGGGCAAACTGTCCCCCCACTTGGTTCACTTGATGTGAATTTACCTTGCGTTGCATTGGCCTTAGGAGACTGTGCTTACGAGATGGGGCGCACACAGCCTGTGAGGGTCCCCCCTTCTCTCTAAACTAGCCTTCTCTCGTGTTTCCCGAGTGGGGAACGCATGTGATCCCATCACGAGATGTAGACTACAGAGCCATCTGGGAACGTTCAGGCTGCTTCCGGCATTTGATTAACATACATCTGCAGTTCGTATCTTTACACATACAGATTTTCCAATGTTGCTGTGTTTCACAGGGTGAAGGCAATCCCACGCCCTGGCTCCAGCCAGAAGGCACAGGTCTGCCTTGCCTGGTGAAGCCCAACAGTGATTCACATGTCCACGGGGCTGGACACATGGGTTCAACAGTGTCCCCAGGACGCCGGCTTCTGGGCCAGCCCCGCTGGCTTCATTTAGGAGCCTCTTCTTGCAGGAAGATAAGAGAAGTCTAGTGACCAAGGCCCAGTAACACCACTCAGGTCCCATATGCAGGCCTGAGCCAGGCACTGGTGCCAGAGCCAGTGCATGTCAGCTGCTTGAAGTGTGTATACCTGGCCTGCCTTTCACCAAGGGCCATGCTCTCCATGCTCTTCTCTCCTCCCAGTGTTGGTGTGGCCAGCTGCCCTAACTCCCTCCAGCTCCTCAGGGGTCTGCCCCGAGCCCCTCTTTATCCTTGCTTGCTACAGCTCTGTCATGCACTCAGTGGCCAGGGGTTGAGGACATGGGTCTCTCGCTCGCCACCCCTTATGATGCAGTCCTCACCGTGCCTCCCATGGCTCCTGCCTGGAACCCCTTCTTTCTTACCCCAAGACCTGTGCATTGTTCCTTCCCCAAGGCCCCCTGTGATTAGCAGCCCCTCCAGCCTACAGGAGTAGGAAGGGCACCCCAGTGTCTTCCATTGGGAAGCGGGTTTCTTAGAAGCCAGCCAGAGTGCTGGGCTCCTTTCCATCCCTAGGGCCTGGGCCCTGTCCTGCGGGGGGGAGGGAGGAGGACACCCCAATATGGCCTTTGTCCATTTTCCCTTGCTGCCTAATTGAAATATAGCCTGAATCTTAGTTTCCCTTCAGTGGCTTGAAGGCCACTTTGTCGCATCTGGACCCGAGGGAAGCTGTTGACCGGTCGAGTGTGTACCCATGATGTGGGTGACTGTGACTGCTGCATGTTCCCATCCCAGATGCCCAGCTTGCAGAACTCTCTCAGATACATACACTGCCAACATGAGGTTATGCATTTTTGTACATGTACACTTTAAAGAAACTTACAAAATAAAAAGACTTGCAAGTCGCATCATACAAAAAAGTGTTTATTTCAGAGAACCCAAAACCACCATTTATCAAGTCAAATTCCACATGGCATATATCAAGTTACAAGAAACAATGCCCTTTACCCAAAAAGTGTTTGAATATAAAATATTAAAACTTCATGGCCTGCTTTTAAGACTAATCTGTAGCATTGCCCAACACAGAGATGATGAAGACTTTAGGGAGGGCAAAAAAAGAAATAGCCAATACGTATTTTCTGATTCATTTAAAAATAGCACCGTCAGAGCAAGGGTATATGGTCTTTTAAGATTAAAGTGCCTTCACAGGTGACTGACCAAAGCTCATGTCAACTAAATACTCAGTGGCTGAACTTTGTTTTTATATATATATCTTTCCTGTGAGCTGGGGTGTGGGGAAATCAAAGTAAAAACAAAAGCAAAAGGCAAAACAGTGACCTTGCAGAATCCACAGAGAGACGTGCACACGTCCCTGCCACAGCGTGTTCCCCGTCCTCACTCAGGCGTGTCCCCAGTCCGCCACCTCGACCACGAAGGGCGTCTTCACGTCTATCTTGCCACTGTTGACTATGGAGCAGTTGGTGAGTGGACGGTCGTGGCTGTCGGTGGCTTGCAGCTCGATGGAGTGTACCACCGTCTAGGGAGAGAGGGGAGACTGGGGCTCAGCGCCGAGCGGCGGCCGGCGTGACCCAAAGGCACAGTCGGCAGCAGGTGCGCACAGGAAATCAAGTTTGTTCATTGTGACAAAACCATGCATGCTGAAGGCTGAGAGCTTAGAATTCCAAATAACACACAGGGGACTTCCCTGAGTACGGAACATACGTATTAGGAAAAACCTAGGCATCTTGAAAAAAAAATTTTTTTTTTGCACCAAAACTAAACTTTAATCTCATTTTCCATGAATTTTATAGAGTACCTTCAAATATACCAACAAATAAAATTCACCCACCACCTTGGTACTCAGAGGCCATATCAATGCATTTCCTTACTTCCTATTCCAGAAGGAATTTTACATTGTAAAAAACAAACTTGGTTCCCAGGCACCCAGTTACAACCCAAAGTGTTAACGTACAGTTTCCGAGTCCCATTCAGCTCCATCCTCTAAGATGGATGAGATTATCTCATCTGCATGCCATCCAAGGCCCCTGAATTATTCGGTCTGCCCTGCCAGTGCAGGTACAGGTGGGGCCTGAAACTGTTTTAGTCCACTGTGGTCTAATCTTTAAGCAGCTCTTTTTGTGTGGCCCCTGAATGACCTGATCAATATCCAAATGACCCTCAGCACGAAGAAAAGGGTCCTTTGGCACTGCAGAGGTCTTGGCGCAACAAAACAGGCCAGAGAGAAGGCATGGACAGGGATGCAGTTAGGGGCCTAACCACTGTAAGCAAGCTCTGAGCCATTAGGCTCTTGGTGGGGTCCAGCACAGAGGTGTGCCTGCACCTGCCAAGGCCCATCTCTGGGTGGCTCCTTAAGCCTGTGCAGTAGAGTGGCTCGCACTGGCAGAGGGAAGGAATGCATGTCATGGACCAGCAAGGCAGCCAGCAAAGCAGGTGGGGCTCCCAACCAGGCTGGAGTCCCCCAGCTCAGTCCTGGGCAGAATCATATCAGGTACAAGATATGGAAGAACCACAGCTTGCTGGAGTGGCTCCTTTCTGTTTGGATGAGGGAGGCCCAACAGCTCACAGAGAAAATAAACCAAAAAAAAAAAATGCAGATGAGGGAAAGGATGGAGAGATGTCCTCAGCCAAGGGAGGCCGACACTAAAGCCGCCCATCCGGGCACCTGCCACGAGGATAGTGAGGGAACAAAGATGTGAGAAGTCATCTTCTTGGTCATAGACTGAAGCCCTTTGAGATTCTGAGGCTTACTGGCATCGCCTCACTCTTTTTAGAGAAGATTTGTGGATTTACAGTTTCAAAGAGAGGGAGAGAGATCATCCACCTGCTGGTTCACTCCCCAAACAGCGCCAACAGCCAGGGCTGGGCCAGGCCAAAGCTGGCAGCATGGAACTGCTTGCAGGTCTCCCGTGTGGGAGGCAGAGGCCCAAGCACTTGGACCATCTCCCACTGCTCTCCCAGGCGTGTGCAGCGGCCAAGACTCAGCCAGTGCTCCCGTGGAATGCCAGCATGCCATGGAGGGGCTTCACCTGCCACACCATGACTCGTGCCTGGGATGCTCTTTCGTCACTGGTGGTTGCCAGCCTGTGTGTCTGTGAACGTTCCCCGGTGTTGACTGAACAATGTGGGGCTCTGTTCTTGCATTATTTATGGTAAGACACGTGAACATGCCCCGCAGTCTGCTCTACACACAGTCCAGGAGTGTGAAGCAGACTCGGGCTGCTGTGCCGCCAGTCTCCACAGCTTCCCCACTTGGCACAACAGAAGCCCCACCTACTCACTCCCCTCCCAATGCCTGCGCCGGCCCCAGCAGCTGCCTCCCTGTTTTCTTTTCCTGGGAACTCGAGTGCTTTATATACCTCCTACTTCATGTATGTAGAAAGCACAGAGACGTTGTCCTTTTGTGAGTGGCTGATTTCACTGAGCAGGGCATCCTGCAGGACCCCTTGTGCTATGGAGTTGGTCGGCATCTCCTGCCTGTTTAGAGCGAGTCCTGCTCCTCTGTGCACCCAGCACCCTGGTTTTATTTTGTTACCGTTGAAAGAGCTTTCTGTTATTATCTAATAGTAAAATACATTAAGTACTTCTCTGTGGCCAGTCCCTAGCTCCTGCTCTCACTGCCCCTAACAATTAAGATGCTGTGCCACATGGAACTGATCGTTTTAGAAGAGAGGCTGGTCAGTGTAAATTAACAGATCTCTAAGAAGCACAGCTGAAGATTAAATTGCTGAAAGGGGCTAATGTTGGGGCTAGCAGGTGGAGCTAGCAGTGCCAGCATTCCCACATGGGCACCCAGTTGCTCTACTGCCCAGCAAGCTCTCTGTTAACGGCCTGGGAAAGCAGTAGAAGGTGGCCCAAGAATCAGGCCCCTGCCAGCCACAGGAGACCTGGATGAAGCTCCTGGCTCCTGGCTTCAGCGAGGCCCAACACTGGCCTGCTACTTGAGGAGTGACAAAGTGGATGGAAGATCTCTCGGTGTGTCTCCTCCTAACTGTGACTTTCAAGTAAACATATAAATTTTACCAAAAATAAATAAATCACTGAAGGCACTCTCATTATTAACGTAAAGTTTTAAAAAGGGAAAAAAGAACATGTCAGCTTACCATCCCATCGAGGACTTTGCCGAAGACCACATGCTTGCCATCCAACCACGTGGGCTTGGTCAGAGTGATGAAGAACTGGGAGCCATTGGTGTCGGGCCCAGCGTTGGCCATGCTGACCCAGCCAATGCCGTAGTGTTTCAGCTTGAAGTTCTCGTCTGGGAATGTCTCACCATAGATGCTTATACCTGCATGAGATGGAAGAGGAGTCAGCAGGTGTCATGCCTCAGTGGACTCCTCAGAGTGGAGCTCAGGGCTTGTGCACCATCATGTACCAGCATCCTGCAAGAGGCAGGGATGGGGAAAGGATGGCTAAACAGGCGGATGGGTGAAGAAGGGGAGAAAAACAACATCTCAAGGAAGCAGCCCCGGGTCCTGCAGCATGCAGGTGAGCCAAGCTCTAAGTACAGTTCTAGATGGCAGGCCCGACTCCTGCTCTGAGACCAGGCAGGTGAGCGATTTGAACTCTGAAGCAAGAAGGAACTGAAGGGCAGAACACCGTAAGCCAGAAGGCAAGGTGGGGCTGTCGGCCAGCCCAGCCGCCTTGGCTGCATGCTGTCAGGCTGCTTATCCAGGGTCCCTCACGCCTACCCACCCAGGGTGCACCCAGCCAGTCCCTGTAACAACCCCACAGACCAGGTGTCATTTTATACAGGGAAGAGGAGGTGACAGAACTCGAAGGCAGCAAAAGCAGGACTGAACATCTGACTCTCTGAGCTGCTGATTTAGCTTATCTCAGCGTCCAGAGCAAGAGCGGCTGTGACGACGGTCACTAGGCTGGGCTTCATTCAGAAAGACACTGAGCGACTGTAACAGAGGCGCTCCCTGGGGTCAACCCGGAGCAGAAAAGCCAGCGACAGCACGTATGAGGATGGCCAAGCCGCAGGTAGGGAAGGGGCCCTTGCTGCCCCCTCCAGTGGTACAGCCCTGGGCAGTACCCGCCCCATCCGCCAGCCCCAGGAATGCCTGCCGTGTCCACCTCCCCTTCAGGGCTCCATACCCGGCCTCTGGTGGCAGGACAGCTCTGGCCGCAGAGGGGATCTAGGCTTAAAGCTGCATGGCCCTCGCAATCACCTCCCCAAACTTTTGAGAGAAAACAAAGCCCACGTCCAGGGAAGCCCCGCACAGAGTTGAAGCGCTGTGCGTCTAGAAGCTCGTCCTGGACTAGACTGTTAACTAACTTTGTAAGAACTCATTTGATGTTGACAACTCAGCCATTGCCATCATAGACCGGGGAACTGGGAAACTGCATCCGGGTTCCCCACATGAGTGGAGGGGCCCAGCTACTGAGCCATTACTGCTGCAGTCCCAGAGTGTGTGTGAGCAGGAAGCTAGAGGGGAAAGCAAAGCCAGCCTCGAGCCCAGGTGGCCCGCTACAGCATGTGGCTGCACGCACGGCCGTCTTCACAGTGCAGAATGCCCGCGATCTGAATGACACCTGTCCTTAAACCTGGGACTTCCGTATCCTGGACAGAGGCTGCTGGGATTCAGTCTGGGAGCAGGAAGCAGGAAAGGAGGAAGGCAGTGTTACCGCCAGTGCCGTCCCCCGCCGTGAAGTCTCCTCCTTGGATCATGAAGTCCTTGATGACGCGGTGAAAGCTGCTTCCCTTGTAGCCAAAGCCTTTCTAAAGACAGAGTTTCCGCTGAATTTACAAGGAGCCGCGAGCCACACCCAGAGCTACCCGCCCCCAATCACGGTTGACCTGGAGACACGAATATCATGCAAAACACAGCAGAGCTTAGATTAGGGCCCAGCCTTGTCCCTAGCGACGCACGCATCACGGGCTGCCCCGACACAAACCAGAGGAGCGAGCGCGTGTGTGAAGACAGCAGGCTACATGCTCACACGGCCACCACCTTTCCCTGTCTCTAGTGATGAGACGAGTGCCCAAGACACTGTCACAGCCTCGTCTGACATGCTCAGGTCTTCCTTTTCCCAAAGATGTCTTCACATGAGGGAAAGGAAGTTGCAATTCTATGCACGGCTAAAGGAACCCAGAACGCGAGACGTGCCTCTCCCGTGGCTAACGCGATGAAATTCTCCACTGTCTTGGGCACGACTTTTCCAAAAAGGCCGATCACGATTCTGCCAACATCTTCATCTCCGATCCTCACGTCAAAGAAGACCTGTGCGTGTGCAGGGGATGGGGGGGGGAAGGTCACATGCTGGCAGACCATGAGGGCAAGGAAAGCCAAGGTTAAAACCTGTGCATCAACTCACACGTCACCTTACCGAGGTAAGTAAGGGCAGGAGTCCTGTGAGAGGAGCTCGCAGCCACTTGGGCAGTTGCACTTCCCCCACGCCATTCAGCAAACACTGCTCACCGCCTCTGGCTCAGGAGCCGGCCTAACACTGAGCTGAAAGTGAGGCTCCCTACTGTCAAGGAGACCAGCAGCTGCTCCTCCCACATGTCTCGGCTTGGTGGATGAAGCCCAGAGTAGGGAACGGTGCCTCTTTACCTAGACAGGCACAAGGCTCGTTCACCTCCCAGATGCCCACAACTAGGACCGGGCCCTCCTCAGATCGGGAACCAGGACTCAGCTTAGGTCTCTCACACGCGTGGCAGGGACCCAAGGCCTGAACCCACCTGCTGTCCCAGAGTGCGCCCAAGCAGGACGCTGGCCTCTGAAGCGGAATCTAGACTTAAAGCCAGGCTCTCCAACATGGGAGCCACCACGTCTCTGCTTGCATCTTACCCACGAGTGCAGACGCCTGTCTCAGTGTTGCCTGTTTGAAAGGCAATGCTCTCCAGTCTCAGAAGGAGAAACATTTAAAGATCGAGGAGAGAAATTAGCTGAATATTGTAATCTAGACCGGTGCCCAATTCCCCAAGCTGTCAACAGGTGCCTGCTGTCAGATGGACTACAAAAGGTACAGCCCAAGACACAGGCCTGCCACCTGCTCCCGAATCCAGTGCCACCCAGGGCCCCGGCAGACGTCACACTCTTGGCTGCCAACCAAACCATTTCCCTGTGAACTGAGACGCTCGGGTCAGTAACATATCCTCCAAGTCACCCATGTCGAGTGGGTGCACTTTGACACAGATGGAACTTTCCGAGTCTGTGCACTTTCAACTGTTTCATCTCTGACAGCATCACACACATACACACACACACAGACACACACACAGGGCTTCCTTAAGAAGTGCCCGAGACACAGTGCTTGAAAAGGCCACAGAGCAGAAGGGCGTCCTATTAGCGAGTACAGATTATATGAACCAATTTGCTGCGTGAATGAGAAAAAAAAAAGCCACTCAAGAGATGGCTTTAAAAAATATAAGAAGGGTTGTCAAAGGAAAAAGATGTCTCGCAGTTTAGAAAAATCACTAAGTAAAGACTGTCACGCTGTAGCTCAAGGCAGGCGCGCCTGCCAATACGTCAGCCCACCTGTCACCGGGTGATGTGATATTTAGTGTTCTGCGTGGCATTTCACAATTTTTACATGGCCAAAGGAACAAAAAACTTTTCTGGTTATTTAGATAGAAGAGTTTTACAAAATGTGCAAAAGTTCCTGCCCCCTAGATGAAGCCAAGAGGATGAGAACTCCCTGCCAGAGATGGGGCCTTGCCCGCCCAATACCTGTGCCACTGCATCTGCCGTGGCCACAGAGGAGCAAGGGGTTCAGCAACCATCATGGAGCAGCACCAGGACGCGAGGCATGCAACGCTACAGAAACCTCCTGTGAGTCAACAGAGAAGCCCCCAGATCGGTGAGGATGTAGAAAGCAGAACTCGACCCCAGAGCCGGGGTGCCACCTGTGACGCTGACATCCCATATGGATGTCATGTTTGAGCCCTGGCTGCTCCACTTCTGGTCCAGATCCCTGCTGGAAAAACAGCAGAAGCTGGCCGAAGTTCTCGGACCGCCGCATCCATGTGGGAGACCCAGATGCAGTCCCAGGCTTCTGGCTTCAGTCTGGCCCTGTCCCAGCCATTGGGACTTTTTGGGGAATAAGTCAGGAAATGGAAGATCTATATGTGTGTGTATGTGTGTCCTACTCTACTCTCTAGGTAAGTCTACCAACTAAATAAATCCCATCTTTAAAAAAACAAGAAGATGGGCCCAGTGCGATGGTGTAGTGGTTAAGGTCCTTGCCTTGCACGCCCGGGATCCCATATGGGCGCCGGTTCTAATCCTGGCAGCCCCACTTCTCATCCAGCTCCCTGCTTGTGGCCTGGGAAAGCAGTCGAGGACGGCCCAAAGCTTTGGGACCCTGCACGCAAGTGGGAGGCCCGGAAGAGGCTCCTGGCTTCAGATTGGCACAGCTCCACAGCGCTCTGCAGGGGCATTTGCTGGACCACACAGGGTTGGGACTGTGGTTCTGTGGCTCTCGGGCCACTGAGCCGGGAAGCTGGGGCACCAGAGGGGGTGGGGCAGCAGGATCCATGGGAAGCCACCTCGCACCTTTCCTTTGCAGGCCCCAAGTTACCAGCAAAATCAGAGGTAAAACACTGCCGGGAAGAACAACAGATGCCCTTCGCTGCATCATAGAGATCATTTCTGTTTTCATCTTCCAACAGGTTTTGTTAAAAAAGTTCATCAGAGAAATGACTCAGTGGAGTTGGACATGTTTCAGAGTCGCCCCCACAGTCGGCTTTTAGAAACCAACCCTGCCTCTGGTGGGGTGGAAACAGAAGATGCACTGAGTGACAAGGACAACTCATCCTTGGCGACAGCAGCCTTCCCCAAGGCCAGGACAACCCAGCTCAGAGGCCTCCAGCTGCTCCCCCTCTCAGCTCCAGGTCTCGGCGGCTTCCGGCCAGCTGCACAGGGACCCCAGGAAAGCTAACAGGTAAGCACCTGGGCCCCAAACCCAGCCCTAGATGGTGACTGGCATGCTCTGGGCAGCAGAACCTTTACATCAGCTGGAAAAACCGCCCAGGTAGAGCTTGTTGCAGAATATCGCAGGACAAGTCCACGAGGAAAGTCCCTCCCTGGTCCTTGGAGGTGCCCAGATGCCCCAACACTGCATGCCCATCAGGCAGCCCCACTCCTCCCTCACCATCAGCTCCTGGGAGTTATGGCTCCAGGGAGTCGCTCCTCTTTCTTGCCCCCATCTCCACCAGGACCACCCAAATCCAAGCCACCATGTGGACTCTGGCTAGGGATCTGGGGTGCCTCCCCACTTTACTCTCTTCATCGGGTTATCCCAACAGTCTTGCATGTCTGCCTGAGGTGCGTCCCAGACATAAAACCCTGAGTGGCTCTTACTGCGGGTGGCTTAAGTATGACCTTGAATTAGAACCCACACCCCAGGGAACCACTCTCCTGACAGGAGCCCTGCAGAGCCCACCCAGGTCACAAAGCCTTTTCCCGTGTGGCGTCTCTGCCCTGCCTTAGCAGGCTGGTTTTTCAGCCAACGAAGCCTTACTCCCTTCACTTCAGAGCTGTATGTGTCAGGTGTCCCAGGAGATCCCAACAGTCCCATACACCTGATTCCCAAAGCCTCCTGCCTGAAGCCTGTGCCCTCAGGCCCGGGCCTGCCGCTGGCCCGCCCTGCCCGTGGTGCCCGCCTCCGTGGTGCCCGCCCTGCCCGTGCTGCCCGCCTCCGTGGTGCCCGCCCTGCCCGTGCTGCCCGCCTCCGTGGTGCGGCGTGTCTGTCTGCGGGGCAGGATCACAGCTATCATTTGTACCGGCAAAGCCCGACTTATTGCTAAGAACACTCCCAGCTGCCAAACTCCAGGACGCACGACTCCCAGCGGCTTTTCCAGAAACAGTGACTACACGGACACCAGACCCAGTCGTTTGCGTCCTAGCCCCGCACCCGCCCAGTCCCGGTACGGAAAACCGAGCTGATGCTGGGGTCGGGGCTGGGGCCTCCCCCCATCCACCTCAACGCTGGCACTGCGCCTCAGCTGCTGTCGGGACAACGGCCTGGAACTTTAGGCCTGCCTTCCTCTTCCTCCTCCTCCTCTTTCCTTGGCCGGCGCCAGGCTTGGCCAAGGCGCGTCCGTCTCCTCCCTGCGCCTCCTTCCTGCTCCGTCCCCACGTCCAGGCCGTGCCAAAAAAAGTTCCTAGGCTGCTGCCTTCCTGGAGCAAGGGCCGGGAAGCCTCTCCCAGCCCCCGTGGTCACGTCGGGCCAGGGACCCCCGCCAGGAGACTGACTCCAAACTGCCTGTGGCGTGGCGGGGGCGGGCCACGCTCAGCCCTGCGCCCGGCCCTGTGGCCACCCCTCGCCCTCCAGCTACCCAGGAACCCCCTCTGCGCGCCCCAAGCACCCCGCCGCGCGGTCACCTTGGCCGTCACCGTGGGCCCTCGCCTGCGCACGCCCGAAGCCCCCGAGGAAAGCACGAGCTCGCCGAGCCCCACGCAAAGCGCCAGAGGCAGCAGCAGCCGGGCAGCCGGGCCCATGCTGAGCGGTGGTGGCAGGACTCCCGGGCGGCTGCGCCTGCGCACGTGGCGGGGCACAGGGATGGGGCGGCGGGGCGGGACCGGACACGCTCCTCCCCGGCCCGGTGCACGGGGAGAGTTTGGGAGCGTGCAACCCAGGGGCACGGCGGGCGGAGCTTCAGGCCGCCTCGGTAGAGGCACCGGGATGGGTACATACGCGAAGCCGGGTGGGATGCCCCGCTGCCCTGCAGTGGTCTGTGGCTTCCACGCTGCAGCCAGCACCCTTGTCTCGGCGGAGCCTGCGGGTCCCTGCTTTGAGTTGAGCTCTGAGTTGCAAGAGGAATTATGTTGTTTCCAGATAATTCACTTTCGGGGGGCGGGGGAGGGGGAAGGAATTAGATATTGCTTGGTTCTCTTGCCCTAGAAACTCCTTCTTCTTGGCTTTCACTCCCTTTTTAGGCGCTGACTCAGTGATATGATCTGTGTGGAAATCTATCTCTGGAAATCTGCCTTTCCGATAGGAATAAATAAATTTAAGAAGAAATGAAAAAGAAAGACGATTTAAGCCAAGTTGTAAAGTTACCTAGGAATTCTGAACGTGTAGAAAGAAATGCATCTTTAAAAGTTGGCATGCGTCGCAGCATGTACAGTAGCTTTGGTGCCAGCTTGTGGCTGTTGGCTTTCTTTGTGATTTCCGCAGGCTCAGGTGTTTTACAGTGAGCACAGAACTAGTTTATATCCTGAAAACAGTTACATTGAAGCGTGTTGTGTAGCTTGGGGAGTAAAGCCGGCATCTGCTCCTCTTCATAAAGGTGCTTGTTTGTGTCCGCCCTGCTCCACTTCCCATCCAGCTCCTGGAAATGAGCTGGGAAAGCAGCTGAAGGTGACCTTGTCCTTGGACCTCTGCGCCTAGAGGCAGGAAGCTCCTGCCCTAGCTGAGCGGACCGTTGGTGGCCATCTGGGGAGTGAACCAGCAGGTGCAAGAGCCTCTCTCTCTCTGTTTTTCTGACTGCCAGATATATCAAGGGAGTTCCCCTGGTGGCTCTGAAGTGACGGGAGCATTGTGGCACAGGTAAAGGGGGTCCCTGTTAATTTGATGGGTGGGAAATTTTTTTTTAAAGATTTTACTTATTTTACTGAAAGAGTTACTGTGTGTGTGTGAGAGAGAGAGATCTTCCATTTGCTGGTTCAACCCCCAACTGGGGCTGAGCTGAATTACCAATTTGAACCCCCTAGTGGGAGCCAGGAACCTGGAGCTTCTTCCAGGTTTCCCACGCAGATACAGGATCCCAAAGCTTTGGGCCGTCCTCGACTGCTTTCCCAGGCCACAAGCAGGGAATGTGAGCTGGAGCCTCTGTGGGATGGCTGTGGACCTGTTGTGGAAACTTTGTGGCTATTCAATCGTGTCCCCTTGGCTTGTTTGTCTCTGTGCCCATACCACTGTGTCTTAAATAAGGCATTTCGTAGTGTAACTTTTGTTCAACAAGTTTATGGAAAATGTGTTAAGAAAAATGTGCATATGCTTCAGTGTGTCTTTTTTCCCAGAAAAATGGGTTTGTGTTTTGATTCTGTTTTTTTCCATTAGCTTTTCCAAGTGCTCTCCTTGTCCTTGTGTTCCTGTTAATTTCTTCAACATGTTTTTGGTGACCTTTGACCCTTCCGTATCCATATAAACTAGAGAAGCAGTTTTCACAGTTCCCACATCCTGGGATTTTGATTGGCATTGTTTTTGCAACCATAGATCAGTTAGAGTGACTTTGCAAATTTGCAATATTCCGCCTCTAACTAACGGGTTAGCATATTCGGACTCCTTGAATTTCCCACAACCAGATTTTAAAGCTTTCTGACCCTAAGCCTTACACTTATTTTACAAATTCGATTTCTGAGTGTTTATCATCTTTATGCCATTGCCAATTGTCTCTTTTTAGACAGTTTTTAATGCCATTATTATAGCCACATTAGTTTTGCATAGCAAACTTACATATACCAAATTTGTTCAACCTGTTTATTAGTTTTAATAGTTTACCTGTGAATTGTTTTGGATTTTTCTGTAATCTTAGCACCCACTAATAACAATTTGTAATCCTTATGGTTTTATTTCTTTTTTCGTGCTTTGTCGCATTGGCTAGAAACACCAGCGTCAAAGCAAATAGTAATAATGGGAGTATTACGTTGTGGGTTAATTTTTCCCTCAAAAGCTGTAGTGATGTCTTAAACCCCGTCTGTGGGAACCTGGCTTTCTTTGGGAATATGGTGTTAGCAGGTGTAGCTACAGTGAGGTCAGATGGATGGGACTGGTGTCCTCATAGAGAGGAGAGACACAGACAGAGGTAGAGGGGAGCCCCGTGTGGGGGTGGATGGAGTGATGGAAGCAAGTGAAGGGATGTGGCACAGCTGCCTCTCAGCACCGTTCTGCGGACACCTGTCCCGGGCCTGGCCTCCACACTGCGGAGCCTGATGCTCTGCTGTTTATCAGGAACAGTTTGTGGGGTTTTGTTCCAGCAGTACTAGGAACTTCATCCGCCTGGTCAGATCCTAACCCCAGAGAGGTCCTTTGGTGTTGCAGTGTTCAGTGCATTCGCTGAAAGTGTTTTGGGGTGTATATATTTTTTTCCCAGATTACGACCTTTCATTTCTAGTCCCGGTTTGCTAAGAAGTTTTATCATGAATTTCTTCTTTTAATTTTGTCACTGTACCCTTTTTAAGTCCACTACAGTATGATGTTCCCTTATTCTGTGAAAATGATGTATCACATTGATTTTCTTTTTTTTTTTAAGATTTATTTTATTTTTATTGGAAAGGTGGATATTCAGAGAGGAGAGACAGAGAGGAAGATCTTCCGTCCAATGATTCACTCCTGTCCAATGATTCACTTCCCAGGTGGCCGCAACGGCCGATGCTATGCCAATCTGAAGCCAGGAGCCTCTTCCGGGTCTCCCACGTGGGTGCAGGGTTCCAAAGCCCTTGGGCCGTCCTCCACTGCTTTCCTGGGCCACAGGCAGGGAGCTGGATGGGAAGCGGGGCTGCCGGGATAGAACCGGCGCCCATATGGGATCCCGGGCATGCAAGGCGAGGACCTTAACCACTGTGCCATCACGCTGGGCCCTCACATTGATTTTCAAATTATAATTCAGTCTTCCATTCTGAAGCTAATCTTACCCTTTTCTATAGTACTGAGTGTGGCTTGCTAATAAGTTTTTGTGAACAAACTTAGCAACAACTTTAAAAAGTTTCTCTAAAGGTTTGGTAAAAAGCAGTAGGTAGGATGTGGCTCTGGTTGTCCTGTAGAACAGGCCATCACCTAATGCCCTTTCGATGTTTGTGAGTGAATGTGCTAACTCTGTGTTTGCGGCATTTGACTCAGATTCATGGTGGAGACTGGAGGTTTTTCTCGGTTGTGCCTTCCTGTCGGTTTTCATGTCAGGGTTAGCATGCGTGACCAAGTGCTGGCTGCTTTTCCTCCAGTTACCTCTTCATCGAGCTCTCTTCCTTCCTGTGCTGCTAGCCTTCTGCGTGCGACTGTTTTCTCTCTAACAATTTCCATGTAGTATTTCCGGAAGTGCCAGTCTGCCAGAGACAACTTACTCTGTTTGTCTGAAAGTGTGTGTTTGACCTTCGTGCCTGAATGGTAGTTCTGCCCAGCCTAAAAGTACTTTTTCTGTTTTTTAGCCATGTGAGTATGTCATTTCTTTTTCTCCTCCAGTTTCCCTTCTTTCCCTTAAGAGACTCGCTCTTGCTCCCCGCTGCTTCTTCGAAGGGACGCTCTTGTGCATCTGGCTTGCTTTCTTTTTTATACAATACTACCAGATTTACTTACATAGAAATTTCTTTCACCCTCTTGGGAGGCCCTTAGGATTTCTTTCTTTTTTTCTTTTTCAAAGATTTATTTATTTTTATTGGAAAGGCAGATACACAGAGAGGAGGAGAGACAGAGAGGAAGATCTTCCATCTGATGATTCACTCCCCAAGCGGCCGCAACACGGAGCTGAGCCAATCTGAAGCCAGGATCCAGGAGCTTCCTCTGGGTCTCCCACTTGGGTGCGAGGTCCCAAAGCTTTGGACCGTCCTCTGCTGCTTTCCCAGGCCACAAGCAGGGAGCTGGATGGGAAGTGGGGCTGCCGGGATTAGAACCGGCGCCCATATAGGTTCCTGGCACATTTAGGGCGAGGACTTTAGCTGCTAGGCCATGTTGCCGGGCCCTCAAGGCAAGGACTTTAACCACTATGCTACTGTGTCGGCTCAGCCTTAGGATTTCTTGACTGTGTGACATGAATCTTGCCAGTTTGGGAATATGCTAACTCATTAACTCTTCCAAAGCCCTTACAACCAGTCTTGCTGTACTGATGCAGCTACTTTCATTTGAGTACATTTCTGGATAGTCTCTTTTTGAAACTAAGAAGTGGTTGAAGTGTAGTGTAGATTAAATCATAGTGTAAAATTGCACAATTTAAGAGAAAGAAGAGGCTGGCATTGTGGCTCATTGAGTTAAACCTTGACTTGGGACAACCACATCATGTTGAAGTGCCAGTTGGAGACCCGGATGCTCTGCCCAGCTTCTTGCCATTGGGAGTGGTAGGTGGCAGGTCACAGACTGGGTACCTGCGCCCCTGCCACCTATGTAGGAAGCCTGTTTGGAGCTCTTGGTGTCTTGGCTTTGCCCCAAATCAGAACTGGCTTTTGTAACAATTTCAGGTGTGAACCAATAAATGGAAGACCTTCGTGTGTCTCAGCCTCTCTCTGCGACTCTCTGCATTTCAGCTAAGTAAATAAATAAAAGTTCAGTTAAATTGAGAGGTAGATAGGCAGACAGATAAAATGTAGGTCTGAGTATGAAGTGAAACCCAAGCATCGCAAGTATGAATCGTAAAAAGATTAGCCGATCCGTTGGCTATTTTTAGTGAAATCAAAATAAACAACAGTGGCCTAATATTTCCATTGCTTGTCTCCGTGTTTCTGTAGTTTTGGTTCATCCCAAAGAAGACTGCTTATGTTTTATTAACTATTGTTTAGTATCCGAGAGTACAGTT